GTAAAAAAAAAAGAATTAAAGGTATTGCCCAAACTTGTAATACCACAACAAGAAGATTTCTTTATCCTTGAAACTGATACTTCAAATTATTATTGGGGAACAGTGTTAAAGGTGAAAAAGAATCATAAAGAATATAAATGTGAAAAAAATTGTTCTTGTCCTGAGATACTTGCAGGTTATACATCAGGAACATTCAAAGAAGTTGTAACAAGATATGAAACAAACAGGAAAGAACTCATTGCTATAAAAAGAGGAGTTCAAAAATATGAAGATTATTTATTACCAAAGAAGTTCTTGATGAGGATTGATAATACTCAAGTTAAAGCCTTTTTGAAAAATAATATTGATCCATCTATTACCAATAGATATATTATTAGGATACAAATTTGATTTTCATATTTCAAATTTGATATTGAATACATAAAAGGTAAAACTAACTTTCTTCCTGATTATCTTAGCAGGGATGAAGCTAGAACAATTAAGGACGAAAGTCCAAATACTTGAGATAAAAGTTTCCTATTTGGAAACACAAATTCAAAATATCCAAGATAGCCTTCGAGGCAAAAATATAGCCCTTGAGGTAGAAGCTACTTGTACCAAATCTAGTATCCCTTTGCAGGGACTTTTGAATACTAGTGCTCTCCCCGAGGATAAAGGAAAAGAAAAGAAGGTAATAGGAACCCCTTCACAAGGAAAACTTAAACCTATTACTGGTAATAAAAATATTCAAGATATCAAAAGAGAAGGTAGCTCTTCACAGAGCCAAACTCAATCTAAACTTTCTACTGAAAGGATAGATCCAAAAGATATGAGTCAAGCATCTCTTAACAGTGAAGAATTCCCTGCAGAATTCTTTGATTCGAAAATGGAAAAGTGATGGTGACAAAAGTAGCCCTTTATCACTACTTTAATAAAGAAATTTATTAAAGAAAAACTGTGGCTACTAAAAGACAGAAGATAGTGCAAGAAAAGTTTCCATAATCGTGACTACTCCCCACCAATTATCACAAGTGGCAGACAAACTCAAAAGATAAGGCATATAATTTCAAAATGAGAGGTCCACCTTGCAAGAAGATAATGGAAATTTTGGTGGAGATAAGATGGCCTAGCTACCCAACAAAGAAAGGTGGAAAACACCTGTTAAGATAAGATTCCCAGAGGCTTCTATAAAAGGAGGCAAGGAGGAAGAAGGAAGATATCTCGAAACAATTTATCTCTTAAACACTTGGAGGAAACACATCTGAGAAATATATCTTTTGTAATCTGTTTACACCACTTGTATTCAGAAAAATATTAGATAGCTTGAAGATAGTAAAGTGTGTAATAAGGTAATCACTTATGGAGTTCTAAACTTCATAAGGTGAGTACCAAAGGTATGTAGATATAGTTTGTAAGCATGTACAATTTCAGTTTATAAATATCAAAGTAAAGTTTGTTATGTTCAACAAAGCTTTCATAAAAAGATTTCGTTAAGTTTCCCATGATTCCTCGGCAGTACAGATAGAGATTTTAAAAGATTTTCAAAACATTGATTTTGAATGGATGTTAACCATGCCAAAGTACCCGTCTTTGATGAACGGTTTAGGAGAAAAAAGCAGTTTTCTAACAAAATTGTAGCACCTTGTGTGTGAGTTATTTTTTAAAATTTCGTTCCAAGTAGGAACTTGATTCTGAAAAGAATTTGGATAGAGGTGAAAACAGAGACTGTGAATACTGTGAGATAGCGTCTGTGGAAACACGACTAGTTCTCTAGAGCGAGAAATGCAACCTTAATTAAAAAGCCTTTTGCGGAAGCAGTTGTGGACCCAAATGATTTCAAAAAATATTTTAAATCTTTACTTGATTCAGAAGATTGATTAAGTACATGCAAAATATCTATAAGATCATACTGGAGGGAAAGCCTGTTTACTTCAATTTGATTACTGTAAGTTATTTACTTGTTTTTACATGCTTATGCTTTAATTATTCTGATGAACAATTCACAAGCATCCACTTCCACTACTAATGATGATAATAATCTCATATTATTTTTAGATGAAAAAGATATTTCGTTTTTATTTAAATTAGTTGAAAAGTCTGAAGATATATTTCATGTTGACAAAGAAAAAATTGAAGAAATATATAGAGATATAGATTATAATTGTAAAAATAATATAGGATTTGATTCTATAGGAACTAGTAGAGAGATAAGAAAAGCAGAGGATATTATAGCCAAACATAGAGAAATACAAGAAAAAATTTCAGAATGATTAGTTCGAGAATATAACACCAAGAAAGGTTAGCTTAGGATCTTTGAAAAACTACTAAAATATAAAGAATATTTAAAGGTATTTGAAAAATTGAAAAATATAGATATAGGTCCTGATTAATAAATCCTCAAAGATATAAGATACATCTTGCAAATAATTATAGTAAGGGTAAAATAGTATTTCTTATAAAAAAAAGGTCATTGTGAAAAATTGGATCAATTATCCAGCCATTCTAAAAATTGCCCCCTAATAGGTCGAGGTCGGGTCTAGGAGATTTCCATGACTATCAATAATTATCATTATATAAAAAATAAGGTACAAATCCTCTTATCAATGCTTTAATCACTTGTGGTTTTAGGTGTTACTTTTACGAAGTTGTTCACGTAGACCTTGTTCATTTTTTCAAGGCACTTAATTTTGTGTTGGTCACTTAAATTATAAATAATATAATTTATTTATATGTTTTGAATATTCATAAATTCGTACTTCTAAACATTTATGTATTGATCATATAATCAAATCCATTAATTTCTCAACATCAACTTAAAAATAATAAAAAAATTAAAAAATCTCATGCAATGAAAGCAAACCAAATTATGATACCGTGTTGCCTATAAATATATTCTCCAAGCAGGAAAGTGACTGGTAGTACGCTATAAATATTCCGAAATAAGCTATACTGACCGAAAAAATAGGAACAAGTGTCTCGGATCACAGAACTCAACACTTTAGCCGGGTATAGTCGACTTTGAAGGCAGGAATTATGCAGAAATTTAGCAGTCAATTCTTCTTACCACGTAGATCCTGGAAATATGATTTGCGATTGCTTTCAAATTTAGACCTCAATATCCTATCACCATTTTTCCTTTCCGAAGCTTTCATGGTCTTAGCTGCTGGTTTCTTCCTGTAGATCTTGTAGCAGAAGAAACACACAAGCAGGAACAACAGTAAAATGATGATAATAACAATGATAGGCGAATGTAAACGATCGATGTTAATGTCACTGTGCTCTATATTCATGTCTGAAATATTTTTGAATTCCCAACCAAAATTAAAAATTTTGCTGGAAATAGTTCATCACTTTGTAGGGATTGTCAGTATTGTCCAACTTTTCTTGGAATACCACGACCTTCAATTTCATCTGCATCTGCATGCCTTTCATCATGCTTTCTGCTTCAAGTTTCTTCTAACTTCTGCACATAATTTATCATGTTCTCCATCTCTCTCTCTCTCGATCTCTCAATACAAAGGAGATTCTTCAGCAGAAGAGAATGAGAAGCAGCAGTCAAGTAAACTGATGCAATAAAGTTTTTTCTATGGTGGTCCATTATCCTTTCCAACGAACATATAATGGAGTAGGCCAAGGGAAAAAGTGATCAAGTCCTTTTCTAACTATAAACTCTCTCTTTCCATCTTCTAAACAAATCCTCTTTTCTTGACTACACTACACTCCACTGCTCTATCTTAGTTTAAAATTATCTACTTCTCAAGCCACCACCAAATAAATGGAAAGCCAATCTGACGTGGGTGCGGGATCACAGCCAGAGCCGGTCCTGTGTTTGAGGGGCCCTGAGGCGAATGATGAAAATTAGGCCCCCCATCGATAAAATTCACAGGTGTATTATGCGACTCATTGCTAATTTAAAAAACTAACATTAAAATAACAACGAAATATATCATAGAAACGATTTATATTATAAACCATCAAACCAAAAATTTCAAACAATTAGAGGCAAAAACATCAATCAAATATGAATAACTTAGCTGCTTAACCATTTCTTTTTCTATTGATAACATAGCCAACCCATTTAATCTTTCTTGTGACATAGTTGATCGGAGATAGGTGTTGATCAACTTCAATTTCGAGAAACTTCTTTCCGCGGATGCAACTGTAACCGGTACGGTTAACAAAATTTTGTAAGCAATATAAGCATTTGGAAAACAAACATCCAATGTCTTCAAATAGTGTAGCACTTCAATTGCTCTTGTTGCTTCATTTGGTAAATAAATCTTCAAGACTTGTAATTCCAAACATAAATCATCTCCACTGATGTCCGAAAGCCCATCATGTTCAAGATATTTCTCAAGATTCATACAAGAGTTCAACAAACTTGATAAAGTTGCACTCCTTAATCTCTTCAAATTAAACAAAAATCCAAATATATCGTCATATTGTTTGAATTGTTCAAATCGGATTCTCAGAGAAGATAGAGCTTGATCAATTATAAAAACAAAGTACTCAACTCTAAATGATTCTTCTGCTGATTGCGTTACCTCATTACTACAGTTTTCATCAAATTGTTTTTTTCTTCGAATTATGCGTTTTTCTGTAAATACAACTTCAATTTCCATTTCATTTGCCTTTTTTGTCGCTTCATCCTTGGCAATGGCAAATCCAATTTCTCTATAATCTTCAAGAAATGAAACAAGTCCTTGCAATAGGTCGATAGCATGATCAATATCCATGGATTCGGTTTGAAGAAATTTACTCACAATATTGTTTGCATGCAACAACCTGTACCAGATTACCATGCCAAACAAGAACTCAAAATTCTGAAGTTCATGTGTTACCAACGACTCGGCTTCACTCTTTATTTTAGGATCTTCGTTAGTTTCTGTCAAATCAAGTAATGCTTCTCTTATCTGTGCAGTTTGCTCCATTATAGGCTTCACACTCTCAACATGACTTTCCCAACGTGTTTGTGACAACGGCTTCACTGTTGACCCTTTTACATTATCTTTAAAAATTTGTCATCGCTTGGTAGAAGATGAAAACAAAGTGTAGATGTGATGTATCACTCCAAAGAAGGATACAGCTTTGGAACAACAATTCACCATATCACATAACGTTAGATTTAGACTATGAGCGCCACATGGAGTATAGAAAGCTCGAGGATTCATTTCAAGTACTCTTCTTTGCACACCTTTGTACTTCCCGCTCATGTTAGATCTGTTATCATACCCTTGCCCTCTAATGTCATCAATATCCAGATCGAGTTTGATTAAAGCCTTTTGAAGCTCTGTCAGTCCAAGTCCTGTTGTGTCATCTACCTTCAAAAATTCAAGCCAATGTTCTTCAACTCTAGGTAAGTTTGCCAAATCATCTACAAATCGTACTATTAACGACATTTGCTCCTCATGACTTGCATCTGGAGTACAATCAAGTATAACTGCGAAATATTTTGCATGTTTAACTTTCTTGACAATTGCATTTCTCACCTCATTAGCTAACAACTGTATCAACTCATTTTGAATTTTTTTGCCAAGATTTGTGTATTGAATCTCTTTTGCATTAGCCCGCCGAAGGTCCTCTTTCATTATTGGATCAAATTCACTAACCATTTCCACCATTTGTAAAAACAAACCATTGTTCTCAACATTTAGCCTCTTATCATCTCCTCGAAATGGCAAGGTGTTTTTGGCGAGTCTTTTTACAATAGCGATTATCCTTGTTAATACATGCCTCCAATGTTTTCTTTCCGTATCGATCAACAATTCAACACTTTTATCAATTGTAGTTTTTGTTCGAAGCCTATTTTTCAATTCAATCCAGCTAGTCATGCAATATAAATGCTCTTCATTTCCTTCATGACTTTTAATAGATCGATGCAAATTATGCCAATCTTTGAATCTATCGTTACCAAGTTGGCCAACTCTGGTAACGTTTTTGGCTGTTTTAAACAACTTACAACAAAAGCAAAAGATACTGTCCATAGATATTGAATAGACTAGCCATCTTCTATCAATTGTTTGCCCATTTCGTATCAATCGCTTATATTGTGAAGAATCAAAACGCCTCTTTGTACAATCTTTCGGAAACGAGATGTCATCAACTCTTTTTGGACCCCTTTCAACTAAGTAATCCCATGTTCTCTGATCAATAATTTTCCAATTGTCGGGATCATCCAAATTTAGAGAAGAGCAACCCTCTTCTTCCTTGTCATCTACTTCATTAACACATGCATGTTTCATCACCTCTTATTCCTTATCATCTACTACAACGTAGGTAGGTTGACTCACTTCTTCATCCTTATCATCTACTTCATTAACACATAAAGGTTGAATCTCTACTTCATCCTCATTCAACGTATTCATATTGTTGCTTTTAAAGTATTTGCCAATATCCCCTGCTTGACTTTGAATTAATGAAATCTCATTTCGTTTCCTTTTTCTCTTTTGAGCACCAGACTCATATTTAGGAGGCATGGTGTATGAGTCTATATCTGATGCTCAATGATTAACCTAAAAAATAATTACAAAATATCTCAAATCATCACACAGTTAGAGTTTTTAATATAGTTATTATGTGCGCCTGTGCAATTGTTGATCCTCTAATAGTCAATCATATAAGCCGACCAGGCCACAATTATATAAGCCGACAAGACTTCAAATATTTTCAATTTCTTCAATAACAAGTTAAGGCAAGCTATTGCTTACTTGACAAGTAGAATTTCGACGAAAACTTTGGAGTTACACCTTCAAGAATTCCACTGTCACAAGCTCACAACTTCCGACCCTGAAACAAAAATTTCACATCTTGATGATAATTTCATTTTCTCCATAAATAGCTCTATTCTGATTTACTTTTGTCCTCGGGATTCTTTTTGGCATCAAGCCTACCCTCACATGCAGGGGATTCGAGAACCCGGTATTCTTCCTCCTAGCATTGAATGGTATTAGCCCAATAATTTTTTACTTGGTAGGTTTGTGTAATAAAAGCTATAATATGTGATGTCTGCTCAAATTCCTCACTCTCATCCAGAAACCAGTGGACTTAAAATGCTCGGTCAATGGTAAAAGGAATAGCATAGAATTTTGTCAAGACTGCCATTTGCAACGAAGAATCTAATATTTCACAATTAAACACAAAATTTTCCAATTCACAAACAAAAAATTTTACAATTCCAAGTCTGAAACTCTTAATAAGCCAGTACTTCAAGAATATCTTTGGAACGACAACATGACTAGAATATGAAAAATGTCAATTTTACTATTTGGTATGAGGACGAGGCCTATAGCTGCTGCTGTGCAGTTAGAAAATAATCTAAGACGATAATAATTCACAGCTACAAAATTCCTAAAAGTTAACCTAGTGATTGTGGAAAAAACTTTTGCTGGGAGGGATGCAATTGAAAGTTGTCAATAATCAGATACAATTCGAATTAGGTCATTTCTAATCCTATTTCTGACTTCCCAATTATTACCAAACAACAATCCCTCTATTTAATTAATTTGCATTTGCATTATGAAGGGTTTTGGAAAATGAGGTTCACTGTCATTCCTAAACAGTAACTTAACATTGCTTAGTACAATAACCAGCAATAATAAAATAGGCACTAATCTTCAAATGCATTAATTATAAAATATAAAAGTCAATGAAAAAGTACTACGTAAATTCTTGAAAGGACACCAAAAATACTATAATTACAGAATTACAAATAAAATTAAAAATCAAACAAACCACATCAAGATTTTGGGCTCGACCGCCTGGCCTCAGGACCTATAGTGTATACATTTGTATTATGAGAGCCGAGAGAGTCCGAGAGAGAGATTAGAGATACCTAGGGTTGAACTTGGAAGCGGAAGAAGGAGTTAAGGAGATGTCAAGTCGACTGTCGAGGGCCTTGAAGCATCGAGCGGGAGAGACTCGGAGATGGCACAGCTGTACATTGGCACTTTAGAGTTCAGATGGAGAGGGGAGGGCTCACTGGCGACGGGAGGCATTTGCGGTTTCGCCGGTTTACCAAATGCCGATTTGGGGAAAAATGGAATTCAATTGGCATTTGGGGGAAATTGGAATTGGATAGAGGATCGGGTTTAGTGGTTTCGGGTGGGCTACTGGGCTTGAGGTTGAGAGTTTTGGGCTAATTGGGGCCTGGGCTACCATACTTCAAAAAAAAAAATTGGGCCAACAAAACGAGGCCCCCTTGGATTTTGGGCCTGAGGCACAGGCCTCATCCGCCTAGCCTCAGGACCGGGCCTGATCACAGCGCGGGGTGGACTCTCATGGTTCCCATAGCAAAGTATGGGATTTGAATTTCACAAGTATGGGCTTTTTGTGCGTTGTTGACTTAGATTTGGACAAGGACGGACACAGGAGTGGGCCGGGGGGGGGGTCACAGACCCCCCAACTTTAGGGTCATTTTTCCCCCCATGATGTTTTTGTCTCAATTTTCGAAGTCACAATGGGATGCCAAACGAAGTCGAAACATTGCATTCTTAATCATATTTCGAAATGCTCACGGCCTAGTTTTCTACTCTTAAATGTCGTGCAAAACAGCCAACAGTAGGAAATATTACAACTTGTCAAAATAGACCATTCCAAACAGCATTTCGAGAATTTCAATAACATGCTAACTTTAAAAATTCTCTGATGATCATACACTAGCCGAATCCACAAATCGCATATATCATTCCGAAGCTCATTTCGAGAACTAAATCATAGGCATATCGAATGGTCAAAACAAATATCCAAAATATTTAAAAATGCATCAAATGTGCGTTTTAAAAAGAGGGTCTAACTTGTCTTTTATTTAACAAAAATTCAATTATTATTATTTTTGCGATACGAGTTTCTCAATATAATTTACATCATTTTATTTAAAAAATTTACAGGGATGACTTCAAAATTTTCTAAATTTTATATCCGAAAAATTAATACTTCATGCAAATTTTCAAATGTAAAATTACATGGGATATGATTTTTTTGAATGTAAATTTTCGAATGAGATTCCTCACAACTTTTTTGCAAGTTTAATTGTACCCTCAACTCAAAATGTCTGTATCCACCCTAGATTTGAACTCTCCAACTTCAATGGTTAGTTTTTGAAGTATGACTCTCACAAGACCTATATCAATGGTATTAAAGTGGCACCACGTCTCCCAGTTGCAAAAAAGAGCAGCACAAATGGTGACATTGGCATAACAATGTTCGTCCAGGACTAGTCATCGCCTATTGCAAAGGTTGTCTAACGTGGGCATGGGGATTGCAGAGTATGGAGGATTGTCATAATTCCAATTGCAATGTATGAGACTTAAATTCCACATCCAAAGTATGGGCTTTCAAAGAGTAATTTATGTGCAGTTGGACTCTCAAACTTTAAAAACTAGCTTTTGAGGTAGGGGTGGGCGCGGGTCGATTCGGTTCGGTTCTCTTTAGAACCGAACCGAACCAAACTTTTCGGGTATCTAGTAAATGGAACCGTCGGGTCCAAATATAATTATGGAACCGTTCGGGTTCGGTTCCATTCAGTTCGGTTCGGATCGATTCGGTTCCGTTCGGTTCTGTACTATAATTAAATTTTTTAACATTTATAACAACGTTATATAAATACGACTAATGATACATTCAATAGTTTTGGAATGTTAGAGATTAGTAAACTATCTTGTTCAAATGATCGCTACGATCAAAGTTTCAGTCGGGGAAAGTCACGGCTTCGATCGGAGGTCAGAGTGTCGGCCGACGATTGTATAGGGTTTGGAATATTAGATAGGCTGCGAGAGTGAGTGCGAGAGTCGAGACAACGTTATGCACTTTATTGTAGGTGTTTAGGGTTATTTAGTGGATTTGATTTGTTTGGCTAAGAAATGAAACAATAAAATGGGTAATTGGGCCAAAAATTTGGATTTAGAAATCATTAATTTGTTAATTTGTTTAGAAAAAATTAAAATTAAAATAATTTGATTTACTCAATATAAAAAAAATTAGAAAGATTCGGTTCTTATTCGGTTCTTCGGTTCTTGGTCTAGAACCGAGAACCGAACCGTACCCGTCGGTTCTCAATTCAGATACCCGTTCGGGTATTTAATTTGACAAGAACCGTCGGGTTCGGATCGGTTCGGTTCGGGTTCGGTTCGGGAGATTTGCCCAGCCCTATTTTGAGGTATCATTCTCCCAAAATTTATATTAACGGTAATAGAGTAGGCACCATCTCTCTATTGAAATTGAGCAGCTTGATGTTGATGCCAACATAGCAGTGTTTGTCCAAGACTAATCACGCGTTAGTGCAAAGCCTGACCAACGTAAGTGTTGAAATCATGAAGCGTGGTGGATTGTCATAGTTCCCATTGTATGAGACTTAAATCCAACATAGAAAATATGAACTTTTGATGTGCAATTTGAAGTCTCCAACTTCAATAATTAGATTAAGGTATGACTCTATATCACAAAATTCAAGGGCCGTAGTAATTAGTAACCATGTAGCACTATGTTTTCAAACTTTAAAGATTCTATCCCAAATTTTAATCAAACTAGCAACGTTTAAGAATGCGTGATTGAATACCTTAGTCTTCCTTTGCTAAGCCTCATCATAAACCCAAAAAAATGACACACACACACACACACACACACACACAAAAGGACCAATTTGAATACAAAATAAGCGCATACTAAATTATTAATGATCTTGAAAATTCTTAATAGAACAATTAAAAGTGTCCAAACAAACCAGAAAAATTCTTCGAAGTAACAAAAAGAGATTATTACTATTTTTTTTATTTTTTTTTTCCTGATCGGCAAGAGATTATTACTTTAGTTGATGGGAAAGTGGACCATTCTCAAAGCGAGTCTATGGGAAATATTTTTTTTAATGTTTTACAATGGGCTATTCCTCACACCTATAGCAAAGTAAATAGCCTCACTTTGTTAATGCGTCCGCCACCACAAACTGCAGCACAATCAGAACCTTTCAGGCCTCAATATGAAGCAGAGCTCAGTTGGATTTTTTTCAAAACAATGCAAACATTAATGAAAGTCAAATTGTCTAAAAGCAAGCATCAAATTTTTTATCAATAACCACGTAAATTTCTGAAAACTGATAGTAATCTTTACAGTACATCGGTCGATAATAGTCTGCTACCCCGACATGACATGAATCTTAAACATCATCATCAAATATAATTTCAATTTAGATTAATAATTTTCACCTTTTTTGGGAAGTGGGCACAAGTAATTGCGATGAAAATGATAAATTACACATGGCAAAATAAAGCACTCCATAATATTTTTTATTTATTTTTATGACCATAAATGTCCGGACTAATTTACGCACACCTCAACTAATTCCACGAAACCCTAAAGTTTACAGTCGGATACTCTCTTTAGTGGCTCTAAGGGGATTCGAATTGGTGACCATTGGAGATCAAACCCAATACCTGACCACTGAACTACCCTATTGGGTTAAAGCACTCCATAATTTATAGATGATACGCAAATTTCAGAACTTGACTGAAGTTTGCTCGATCAAGAATTGATGCCTATCGTCTCAGTTCAATATACGAACATGAACAGAGCTTGCTTGTGCCCAATGAATGGCAAGCAGGGCACTCAAATCACTGCAAAAAACAGATGACACGGATAGACAGAGTGGTTAATAGGAAAACTATAGAAGGCTTTTTTTTTCTTTCATGGTTTCAACAATCAATTTTCTCATAGGGAAAAATTACTACAATCAAATGAATTAATAACTTACCACAACGAAATGAAGACAAACTACAAAATATATAGACTTCATCTCCTCCTCTTCTTGCTTCTTCCCAATTGTCCCGATTTAAATGCATGCTCTTGTTCTTGGAGAAAAGCTTTAGCTTGTCCATATTTTTCAGCTCTTTCTTCTGACAGTTGTGCCTTGTCCCTTTCCTTAACCTCCAACAAGAAGTAATTATCTTTCCGCAATTCACGGGCGGCACCTTTAGCTTCCTGTCTCAAAAGTTTCTTTAATTTTTTCCTTTGAGCTCGCTCACGATCTGGATCATAATCTCTTCCCTTTACAAAGCTGCGTTTAATAATTAATCATGAAAAAATCGAGTCAGGAGATGAAAGTAAGTGGCAGAAAATTGATGTAATTGAGAAAAAAATGCAGTCGACAAGGTGATTACTTCTCTTCAAACTTAGGAATCTCAGTTTTAATAATCTTTGGCTTTCGCATTCGTAATGGTTGGCGCAGCAAGTGGTATTCCTGTGCTTTCTTTTCAATAAGTTGGTTAACGTCTATGATTTGGACCTGTAATGCATCTGGTATGTAATCTTGTTTCAACAATTCACCGAGTAATTTGGAAATTGGCAAAAATATCTCTGGAAAAGATTTAAATCCTTCATAACTTTTCACAAATCCTTTCAGTGTTTCAATATTAGCAAAAAGAACGCCGGCCCTGCAAATAATAGCTTAACACTTAAAATCCAACACGTTCCAGATAACAGTCTACATTATACTCTAAATAAAGTACTACAAATAAACAGCTTAAGAGTAAACCTGAATGTATCTGAGATGAAATGAGGTGAGTCATCTGGCAAGTCCATTAACATTAGGAAATCTAGTGAATTGATCTTTTCCACTTGACCTTGCAAGCAGAGAAGTGGCCTGAGTGCTTTAATTTCCATAAGACGATACAGCTGCATAACAATAAAAATATTAATTAAGTATTCTTTTTCCAAATAAGAAAAAAAGGGGTCCTTTAATCAATAACCCTCAAGAAACTGCCACGACCAGAGCTTCTGAATGTGTAAATGTAAGCGAAATACTGGAAACAAACCTTAGAATCTTCAGAAGATCCTTGTTTTTTTATCCAAAGCTGCCATTAGCAAAGTTTGTATGAACATTATTGCCTCAGGACAAAACTTTTGAGATTGTCTACTGATCTGTAGAAACATTTTTGAAAAATTGTTACACAATCTCTAAAAAGATTGGAACAAAGAGGCTAACAGATATTACTGAAAATGTAATGGTTAACTGTACATCTCATAACACCTGTTCATGCTAAAGAAACTATATCCCAAGCCAAAAAAATAAATAAATAAATAAATAAAAAAGAAAAAAAATTCAATATTCACATACAGATAAAGCTTATATCACTTAATACAAATAAATGGAGATTATGGATGAGAATCCATTAATGGTACAACACAACCCGAGACCTTACGTGTTTTCAGTGTGCCTAATACTATCAAGTTTTGGATGTCAGAACTCACCAGAGAGAAATTCGTAGTGTACATATGATCTAATGAGAATTTGATCGGTAATCAACCACAATTTCACAAGGAATTTCAAATCTCGCTTTAAAACAAGAAAACATAGTTCATGCAAAACTAAAAGCAAATGAAAAAGCAATTAACTTTGCGTCTCAAGCAGACATATGAAGCATAAAAATCAAACAATCAAAGGAGCAACTGGCTTGATCATGTCATGGACAAACTGTCAACGTTACGCCCATGCAAAATGATTTATGCACAAACTTAGTGTAACCCTCACTTCTACTTTAATAGCAGTTCCATTATTTAACTCAACCATCAGAATTCAGAACCTAAAATATTACCAGATTATGTTTTTAAGTGAAAAAAAGAAAGCCTAAAGGAAACACGAAGCTCTAGAAACAAAACTTAGGAAGACAATGCATAATCAAGTTCTTAATTATTATACTGAATATCTGATCTAAGAGCGCACATAAAAAAATAAAATATGAAATAGAAGAAACTAATTAAGGCTGGATAAACTTACAGAGAGCACCATAGAGCACAAAAAGGAACCAATTATAATATCCCGACCAGACATTACAGGACACCGTGTAAGGTATTCACACATCAACAAGATGGCAGGTGTCATGACCACATGGCGAAAATCAGAGCAAGGAAAAATCATGGACCACAGCCTCAAAAGAAATAGAATCTTCATAGAAGGCCAACTGCTTTTCCCTGTCATGAAGGAAGAGGTCAAGAACAGATCCAACGAGAAGAAACGGAAACAATAGTTCAGCAGAAAAAATTTCAGAAATAGAGAACTAAAAATTAGAAAATCAAGAGTGTTCCATTCATACTAGCCAACCTGTATTCTTAACATCCTCACAAAACTGGGTCCGAGTGTGAAGCAACCTTTGACGAGCACATATTGCTGCAAAGTATGGGATCTCTGAACTCATTTCCAGCAGTGGCTTGACAAGCAAATTCAGTAGCTTGATATTCAGTGGCTTTTTATTAGCCAAAACAGCAAAATATTGCAACAACACACCATAAAATACCTGAAAGGAAATTTAAGTTTAACAATATTGACGCATTCGTAAGACACAGGCTATTTTTTGCAATTCCAAGTTTACTGCATTGTTGCTTTCTACCATAAGAGGCACTGAATGACCAGACATACACACTATAAGACCACTTAGTTTAAATTTTCCCCTCCAACAAATAGATCATAATAAATATAGAAATAACAGATAATTATTGCCTATTCTCATTTGTAACAGAAAATAATGCCGCTCCAAATTCATGAATAGTTTAATTCTTGTAAAAAATTTGGAAATAAAATGGATATACAGAAACATAAAGTTACTCAAAACAAACAAATGCAGGAAAGTTCCCTACGTCCATTTTCTACTGGTAATCTACCGAATGACCAGACATACTACACTATAAGACCACTTAATTTAAATTTTTCCCTTCAACAAATAGATCATAATAAATATAGAAGTAACAGATAATTATTGCCTATTCTCATTTGTAACAGGAAATAATGCCACTCCAAATTCGTGAAAAGTTTTAGTCTTGTAAAAAATGTGGAAATAAAATGGATATACAGAAACATTAAGTTACTCAAAACAAACAAATGCAGCAATGTTCCCTACCTGCATTTTCTTCCGGTTCTCTACGGCAACAGAAATTGCATTAAATGTACGGATTCGCCTGATAGCTTCAACAATTTGATCACCAGAACGATTATCCAATAGTGCACTAAATTCTTCAAAGGATCGAGGAGCTTCAATTGTATAGGGAAGTTCCCCTTGCTCAAGTATATTTTTTTTGATATTTTCTTTCACTTTGCCGGCACCCAAACTATCCTTTTGCTTTCCCTTACTTCCTGATGGCTTCTTATCATTTGTCGTCTCCACACATATGCCAATATCATCATCTTTTTCATCTTCACTATCAATATCGCCATCTTCATCTTCTCCTCCATCTTCTGAATAACTGTCAATATTGTCATCATCATTTTGCTCCCAGTCCTTGAGAGATTGAATCTTGCTGTCGTCGTCGTCATCGTCATCATCAGATCCTTCGTCATCATCATTGTCCTTGTCATCTTCTGAATCTTCAGAAGCAGCATCATCATCATCATCACTCTCGAGATCATTTTCATTCTCACTTCTCAAGATCTCAGAAATCAAGCCCAATTTAGTTCTTGGCAGTGCATCATGAGAGAAGAAATCACCGAGATCATCTCCAGATATAGATCTTTGCTGCTTAGTGGAAGCCTCCTCATCAATATCTTCATCACTGGAGTCATCACCAGCGATCCTCTTTTGACGTTCTTCCTGAAATTGATTAACAGAAGGACAAGTTACTCTAAATATTTTTTTATTTTGTCCCATATATACACTCTTTTTTAGGCTTCAAAACTACAATTAGCTAGTGAATGCATTCTCTCTTCTTAAAAAGAAGTCACCACCAATAAAACTGAAAATTCAAGAATTAATAATACTTATATGCTACCTTGCTAATGGGTTAAGTTATGTAAAGAGAGCATCTTTTTGTAGTTCACAAATATATTTTTGATATGCCAGATAGACCATGTAGCAAGAACCACTGAACAACTATTAAATCTGATTAATAAAACCAAAGAGAGGATTTGAAGCTCAAACCACTAATGTTTCATATGCATAATAATACTACTACTAATAATAATAATAACAACAACAACAACAACAACTGAAGAATCTATGTGTGACCAGTCAAAGTCATGACCATCATCACTGTTAATACAACTATTCATTACTCCTCTAATAACCACGATATCTCTGAGTAGCAAAAGCAAAAGCAAAAGCCAAGAGAAAAGGAATGAGATTGCCAGGGGTGTGGGTATTTGATGTACTAAGTACCGAAAGATTGCCATCTTAAATCGGATACTGAAGATAGAAAAAAATTGGAATTTTGTCTACCATGCTTGATCTATCAGCAAACATAACTCCACAACAAAATTGTATGTATCACATATACCTCCAACCGCTCTAAGCGCTCTTTCTCCTCTTGAGCAACCTCTTCAGGTGTCTTTGTACGGTCTGAAGGTCGAGCACGCATATCCATTGCCATCTCACCGAAAAGTTTGTCATAAGTATCAGGCTTTTCCTGCAGGATCAGTTAACGGCGCATATTATGAAAGGGAAACAAAATACAAAAATAAATAAATAAAATTAAGATGTCATCAAATATTATATGGCAGCCGTAAAATACTGAAGTTACTAAAAATAAGCATAGATTACAATGGCAGGGAAACATCAAATAAAGACATGCAAATATTATAAGAAAAGATATTCAGATGCCTGACAACTCTTGCAGCCTTGCAGGCCATTGAAAGTTCGCGGAAACAAAGTTTACCTGTTGAAAGGAAAATTTATCCTGGACAGCACTGGTTCCTTCTTTCTCAGCATGATCAATTGAGATATTCTTGTTTACAAGAGCTTTCAAAGCTTTCATTTTGTTGGGTTGTGTCATTGATAACAATGCCTTAGACTGAACTATAGATGCAAAATCTTTGTCCAATTGTTCAATAAACTGTTCATTTTCTTCTTTATCCTTCGCCTTTTCAGCCTTCAGAAAATCAGGAATAAGATGGAGATATAATACGTTAAACTAGGAGATCAAGGCAAGGAATAGAATAGATGACATAAACATATCAACCACCACTACCTTGAAAAATTTGCTCTTCAAAATAATCTCATTCATGACCTCTTTCTTGCTCTTCTTCCTCTGAAATAAGAAAGACGTGAAATCATCAGAAGCAGAAATTCATTGGTCGCGCTTTGATGAAAATGCAACACTTTCTTGAGTTACAAGTTAATTATGACTTCGGATTCATGACCAATCCTAGATGACAACAAAAATGGAGGATATGACAGATATCAATAACAATTCAGCAGTTTCCATACCAGAACAAGAAAATATACTGCAAAGAATTCCGAAGTAGATGAAAATGTACACTTCATATCGTCTACCAATTGTAAAAATCTAACACAGAGAAAAGTAAATGGGAATATAACCTTTGACTCTGAGAAAAAGGTGTCATATACATACTCGTAACAGATTGAAGATGGATGAATGATGCTTAATAAGGATAAAAATATTTTTAGTTGAGGCACAATGACCTCAAGAAGCAATTTCGCAAAGACATTTTCATACAGAACTAAAATAATTGGGAACCAAATGAGGTCAAATGGGAAACTTAAACCATATTGCAGCAACTTCAAATCCCACCATAGCCCATCTTTTCTGTCTCCAGCAAATCAGAAAGGGGAAAACAATATTCTGTGATTCAATTCAAGGGTTGGGGGAACAAAATAATCTAACGGGGCATATTTTACCCATATCAGCCCCATCTTTTGACCCCATTCATCCCCTGCACCATAAAGGGGGAATACATTTTTATTCCAACCTCCAAATCTCTTATCTTAGGAAATAATTATATGACAGTTTTGACTTCAAAATGACACTGACCCCCAGACTAACTACGCAACCAAGTAATAAATATCATCAAAAAAGAATAAATATTTCCAACAATTAGTTTAAAACATTACTACATGCTTCCAATGGAAAAGGGAAGGTGATACAATCTACGAAAAATTAGGAATGAAATGTCAAGTCAATGGATGAACAGAGGTAGTGTAGGTAGGTTTGCCAAAGCTTATAATTGCTCATAAGCTGGTCAACTCTATTTTTACAGACACGTTCAATAGGATAAACAACTTTTAACTACTTTTTAACCACGCATTCCTTGGGACTCACTACATATAAGCACATAAAAGCTTGGCCAAGAAGCATTAAAATAAAAAAGAAAGAAAGAAAAAAAGATAGAGAGACAGTAAGATACAAAACTTCTTTCTTTCATTTACTGATAGTCAGAAAATCGATAACAATCATTTTCAAAATGTTGAAAGACTTGAATGAAGTGATGCCCACTTTGCTCACATACACACAGTCACATAAGAGAACGTATTATAATCAAAGACCAAAGTAGTTAAACTTGAACCAATAAACATCTACAGATTGTGCCATTAACATTTTCCCGAAATAGAAGGGAGGATATGTGAAAGATTTAAGAGTGATTATCACAATGAATGGAGGTTGGAGAAAGAAATTGGGTAATGGAACTTTGGCTCAAAATTCTTGATTGTTACTCTATCGAATATTCAACAATTTAACACAAAAAAGAAAGTTGGAGATTGCATACATATAATATAGAATAACAGAATGACTCACATTTTCCTCTGCCACGAGTCTTTCTTCTAAATCGTTCTCTTCCCCATGGGGATCAAGTTGCCCTAAAATAGTTGACTTCTCTGCACAAAAAAGTAAAATTAGTTTATACAAAAGAGAAGAATGAAAAGGAGGATCAAATAATGAAATAATATATTCTCTCCTTATCAATCATCAGTTTATAAACTCTGAGCCCTTGTTTGAGCCACATTATTTTCCTTAGAATGAATTTTTTAATAGTGTATTAATGGAAAATGTGTGTTTAAAAAATAAAGAAAAGTCCTAGATTTGCGTGTAATATTATTTTATTGAAAAATGTGTGGTTGAAATGATATCAAGTCACTGTTTAAAAATGTATTTTTTTGAAAAAATGTGGTTCAAACATGCCCTGAATGCAAAATGCTATAGTGTAAATGATTATTAATATATAACTAGAAAACATAAATTGATAATTTCACTTGATAAGAGAAATACGTAGTTCACTCGATCAACGTCTATGATTTTACATATGAGAAAGGGAACACTTCAAACACTAAGTTATTGCTAGAAATAACATCCATTCAAACGGTATATTAACATTAAAAGCTTACAATAAACAAGAATTACATAACTGATAACTTCGCTACCTATCATGCACCAACACCATACGAGACACACATGTCGACGCTTGCTTTTTCAAAAAAGTACTAACATAACACATCACTGATACATTAAATAAAAATTTTTTAAAATTCTTCATTTATATAGTATAAATTTAGTTTTATACTTTTTTTTTTTTTTGGTTAAAATCTTTTAAATATGAGTATTTATTTGCCATTTAATAATAATTTTAAATTAAAAATATATAATATTTCTGACAAAGAAAAAAATAATCATAGTAAAGTGTTCAAGGAATTTGAGCACCACAGTTTGAAGTTTGCCAGGACATGTGTCGAATATGAGCACGCCACCCTAGTTGAAGTGTCTGTACAACATAATCCACTACTTCAACATCTCTCTATAAATGACAGATAAATGTTTGTTGATTCTCATCAAACCGTGAAAAGAATAGTGGTATCTTGTTTTTTGCTCAAGGGTAATTTCCCTCAAACAAGATAGAGATGATAAATCTTCACTAAAATCATGTCCAATATACTTACCCTACAATCAAGTCCAATATTTTGTGTAGGAAAACTTTGCAGACAAATTTGGTAGGTCTAGTTGTAGTTTTGCCACTAACATGGGTAGACAATTATCAGGTCTTACTGGATTATATATAGATAATAGATGGATGGTTGTTGGAACTAAAGAAGCAATGTGAAAGATGGCTTGGCTGTATTATGTAATATTAACATTTCCCAGATTAATGTTCAAGGTGGACTAAGACATTTTGAGATAATTGTTATGGATCAGCCAGGACATTGATTAAGCAGCGTAAGAATATGAGAGATTAACAGGGTTGTGAAAAAGTAACAAACTAAAGATGTTCTAGAATGCACTAAAGAGAGAAAAAGAAAGTCTACCCATCACCAATCTGGATCCCATAGGTATCGCATGTAGGGCTAATTCCATCACCCAATCTCAAGAAAGCTTCAAAAGACAAAACTATTTGACAGGGTCAATAGATCTCTGAGGACTTCATATATTTAAAGACTCCAAGAGATATCCTAATTTTCCAGGCAGGCTTCTTAAAAAACCAGCTAAATAGATAACAGATTCTAAACCACTTAAAATAATTAAAAGTAACTCCCCCCATGTCAGCTTAAAGACATTTTTGAAAATTCTGAAAGTTATAGAACATTAGATTTACCTGTGTCCTGCAATAACATAAGAAAATAAGCAAAAATCTGATTAACTGTTTTAGCCTAATTTAATATTCAACTAAAGATAAGAAC